GATGGAGCGATTTAAATGAAACTGAGGAATGCGGCATAGCTAGATTTAATTACCCAGCTAGTCATCCGCAAGTTCCTATTAGACTTAGAGTGAGAGCCATACTTACTGGGTGGGTATTTTTTTTTTTGTCTGAACTGGGCACAGAACAACCGCGTGCAGAAAACGCACTTAGACTAAATGCCGACCATCGTACAATTATAACTTTCGTTTGCAATTATCCTTTTGGAACATGTTAAAGATGTCTTTTAAAATTATTATCAGTCGAGATTTTTAATTTAGAATGCATTTTGAAGAATCTTAGTTTAATTTAAATCCTATGAATATATATATAACGATATTAAAGGATACACATTTTCAAGGCTATTTTTCAAAATTTTTATTTAATGTCTCCACATTTATTCCTTAATCAAGCCGAGAAGACATGTCAAACACTAAAACACACACACAAAAGAATTTGTTCCAAAAGTTTAATTTAATAATAATTATTTAGTGTTCACTAATTATAAAATGTTCTACAATTGCACATTTTCTGGACATACATAAATTATTTGACTAGAAAACATATCGTTTTGCAGCCCCTTGTAATACACCCTAATAAAGCCACTGTACTTTTTCCATTTCGAAGCACTGAGATAAATCCTGCCGTCTCAGGAAAAATTTTAAGATGCAGATTTACTAGAAATGTCTTCAAATTTTGGAAGCATTTTCAATTTTTCGCATTTCCAAAATTTTAATGGACTAAAACTTAAACTAAAAGTCGGCACGGCTTATCGTTATCTTATAGCGATCAAACTTCGGACATATATTATTTCGGCTAAAAGCACAAATATAGAGGATCAAAATTTTAAAACAAATTTTTTCCATATAATAATATATATCGTCGATGTTTTAGCAAAACTGCCTAAATTGCCATTGTGGCAAAAATGAGATTTGGTAACCCTGAACTCCAAGCATCGAGATTTTGTGCATGGAAATCGTTAAATCATTATTAAAACAACAAATTTTTTAAAATAATAGCTAGAGAAAATACCGCCTATCAAGGCAATACCTTCAAAGCATAAACCGTTTTTTCGCTCTGCTGTAAAATTTGAGTGCCGTAAGATAGTTGGCTGGGCGATGGGCGATTTTGCAGTAGCATTCATATTCAGCCTCTCACGCGGAAGCAAAAAAGAGGGCAGACAGACAGACCACCAACCTCTGTGGCAACCAGCGAAGCAATCAACCAGTTTTCCGCAATGTCGCATAGCCACTGCCGAATAATATTGCTACCAGTGTAAATTTCGGCATATATGTACATATATAGTACACATATGTATGTACGTTGATTGCTTCGCTGGTTGCCACAGAGGTTGGTGGTCTGATGACTGTCTGTCTGTCTGCCCTCTTTTGCTTTCGCGTGAGAGGCTAAATGGGAATGCCACTGCAGTGGTCTTGCTGTATCTTAACTTCAATTATGTACTGTATATGTTTCATACGTATATACGTGCTTGCATGCGTCGACATGTACGTATGTGAAAGCACGCCTGATTGTGGCGGTTGTTTGGCTGAACGCGCGCGAACTTTTGTGTCGTAAAGACTGAAATTGATTTTCTCGCGAATCATTAACTTGGTTAAGAGTTCATAGCGTACAACCGACTTTACCGCACACATACACACATATGTATGTGTAATATGTATAGGCGCACACATGCTAAATCTTAAGCACATATTTATGCTGTACTATGTGCGTTGGTGGCACTTCTTACATAATAAATACATTNTTTAAATAAAGTTCACTCCATAATTTCCTACGCCCGTCCACAAACGCCACATAATTTTACGAAATGTTCGTGCTGGCGCTGGTGAGCTACTGCTGCTACGCAATTTACAGCGAACTAAAAACATAATTTCCTGTTTCACTGCACATTCTTTGAATTATTTCGCAATTACTTTTGCTGCAGGCACCAGCTTTCACTTTAGCAAGAGAATGTACCTCCCTTGAAGATACTTTGACATTTTCACTTTCTGTATTTTGCATTACTTTCACTGAGTAGCCTCATTTAGTTTTAATAACTTTTCTAGGTTTCCTGTTTTTTGTAAATTCGCCATTTTGGCATGAGTCACGAAGTGCCAGAAAATTCTTAAGCTTTTTCAAGGTATTTATAAGAAACTCACATAATTACACGTTTGGAAATGTTATGCTAGCAACGCGGGTAATGAAAGTGATTGCCACGGGTAACTGCAAGTCCTTCGGCTTAATTACTTTGAGCGCCTCGTTAAAGACTAGTTTCGAAGTATGTCTATATTTTTGTCAGCAAATGAGGAAGAGAATACACCCGCTTTAGAAGTTTTCGCAAGACTTGCTTGGTTACAACTAATTCAAGCAGAATCTGAAACCTGACTGAGAAGGTTTCAGTTACCAACTGGTTTGAAAAATTACTTTAACACCGAGCTCAAAAAACCTTATCTCTTGTCTGTTAGCAAACCACATATCTTCCTCAAAATTATTCAATCCAGTTCGCTTACGCATATAAACCAAAGATTAAAACCAGAGAGATGATCCTACGGCTCATTGAAACAAGAACTTGTTGCTAAAAGAGATTCTTGTTGCACTTCGGCACAGGCGTTGTTATTGGTGGTGCCCAAGTTAAAGGAGTCCTCAACTACTTTGAAATTACTCGCATGTTGTTGTTGTTTGTAGCGGCTACACTACTCCGTTAAGCCCAACTGCTTCTATACGGTCCATCCATAGCCCAGCGGCAGTCTGTCTACCTTCGTCCAGGTGGTAAAAAATATTGCCGAGGACGTGTAAGGAGAGGGGTTACGGTTCCTTGCAGTAAAGAAGCGAGAAAAATTCCATTCCAGTCGCTATTATAGAGCAGTCGTCAGCATAAGAGACAATCGAGACTCCCTCTGGTGATTGAGGATTCAAAGCTTCCTGTAATGGTTTAACAATAGCAGGAAAAATTCTCCTTGGCTTGCTTGTTTTGTCTCTAGAAATTACTGACGAGTGGCAACCACTCATATAATTCACCCACTACCATTTGAGCACCTGTGGGAGATATGAAGCTTCAATGTCTTCTAGTAGCATAAATGCCAATAGCGACGTGGGTGCTTGTCAAAAATGAGCTGACAGCTTTTTTTTGTTGAATGAAGGAACATCGTTTTTTGTTCGCCCTTCATCAGATCCACGTGATTTATTCTTTACAGACGACGCGACTATTAAGCCTAATTATGTCAATATCATGTCTATACGCCAGTAATAATACGATCTTCTAACTAGAAGTAAGAAATAGTGTCGCAACAGTTTAAATCTGCAGCTTTTACAATATTCTCCGATAACAAATCAAAAAAAAAAACATATTTTCCAAATAGGTGTCACAATGACCTTTTCGTAGCGGTGCTAATGTGGTAAAACATTCTACAAAATTATACCTCGTGAAATTCCACTATATGCACCCAAAAATTTTCTGCAATTATTATGCAAGCAAAAAAATTCAAATTAGTATGGCCTTAGAAATAAATTAACCTGCGAATGAAAAAAGATTGCGAGGTTTTACCTAATGGGTCTAGATCTTTCATACTAAGTTGGTATGATTCCGCCCCCCCCAACAATGACCTCGAAATTGTTGCACAGTGTAATCAAGTGCCAAAGCTAAAGTATGAGGGGCATGTGTTGTTAGCCCACCACTGTTCCTCGGCAGTTAGTGAGTTGCCAGTTTTCCGTTCTTGTTATTACGAGAATTCGACCCGATCGTACAACTTTCGTGAGCTCGCGTATCTACTGGTAGAATTTTTGTGCTCTTTCCTCCATCGGCCTGCATTTAGAGCTACTCGCCTCCCTTACATATTTCGTATTCTCTATTTTCCTTTGGTACCATATCCCTTCTCTTTATTTACCTCCTTTTTACAGCGTAACTGTATAGGCAGTGTCTTTCGCCTTGTATTGGTGCGGATTTTTTTTTTACCTGATCTCATCACATAAAAAATCAACGCGAAATTCAACAGAATTTTCTACTAAATGTAAGGAAAAGCAGCAGCAAAAATATAAAAATTTTAACTTAATATTATTTACTTTAAGAAAATTTTCCGCCAGAAAATAAATAGGTCAACACTGCTCCCAGCGGAGCCGTTACAACCACTTCACATGCACACATACAGCCCCAAGCACTTTTATTTCTTGGGTCAAATGCATTTAATTTTTTCGATAGAGAAAAACCATTTTTGTCTCCACGCGTGGCCATGGTGCACTTGCATTCTACAGCAGTCAATGTCACACCGTGGCTCGCGCACAGAGGCGAGTGAGTACTCGCGGTAGCAACAACAATAAAAACACCCACCGAAAATAATTTTCCACACCTTAGGTGCACATTACAACGGAACAATAACGTTGCTGCAAGGTAAAAGAAAAGCGAGAAGCGAATATCAGTGAATACAAAATGCGACACGGGACACAGAGCGCACAAGGCAGAGTGCAACGTGCAAGGTTGCAGCAAGAAAGTACAGGTGGCGGACTGCGACATGACACTGAGGAAGGAAATATGTTCGAAAAAAGAAATGAGAATTGAATTAAAAAGCAAACCGAAATGGGAGGGAAAGTAATTCAAGAGTAGTTTGCGTAAACTTGTTGCGAGAAGCGACGCAGAGCTGCAAAGTATCGCGACAGTAACTAAGCGAGTGTGTAACGACTGTTGCAACTGGCAATTGCGGCAACTGGTAGCGCAAGAATTTGTTTCGGGAAAGTTAAGAAATTTAAAATAGAGTGCAAAATGCTTTTCATTATATTTTTTATAGTGGCATTTGTGTATATAATTTTCAGTTTTTTCTTTTCTTTGTTTCAGCGCTTGCTAGCTTTGCTTATTGCTCTACAGCAGCTGAAGGCAACCACAGTTGCACATTTATATCTGCAATACTCTCACTATATAGAGGCAAGCGCCAAACAGCTGATACAGGAAGCAAGTGGTTTAATAAATGGGAATTTGCAAAAAATAATCAAATTTTTGTAACCGCCACACGCCTAGCAGCCAACAGCTGTAGTCCCAAAAGCAGGTGCAGTGCGCTAAAACTTCCGCAAAAATACCGAAAATTGCAATATGCATCATTTTAGTCCGCACAAAAATGAAATACTATAACGGCAATATTGTGGTGTGCAACAACAACCTTTTGCCAGTCTGCTGCACAAGACCTTGCGCTTGCCACTTCTTTTGACTTCCGAAGGCAATTGGCTGCCACTTGCTTCTGCCATTGTTGCTACAATGTAGTCTTACAGCGCAACAGTTGTACATTTGGCAGTAGAATACTATTTACAACCAGCAACAGAAAGAAGAATAGTGAAAAGAAAAATGAGCGAAAAAATGCTGGCTTGCAAGTATATAATTTTTGCGTTGCTTAAATGGGAAATTGCAATATTATTGTAAGGTGGACCAAAACACAATATTTACAGGTATTGTGTATACATACACAGTATATCTTTAGATGTAACTAAATTGTTCTAAGCTAAAGAAAATTTTGCAACTAAGAGCTTTGTATGTAATCGCCTAAATCACCTCCACCACATTCTACACTATAAACTGAATTTAATCGCATAGGGCCTGGGTTCAAGTCCTGGTCAAGGCAACATCGCAAAAAATAAAGAAAAAAATTGTTTTCTTAAGAGCGGTCGCCCCCAGGCAGGCAATGGCAAACCTTCGAGAGTATTTCTGCTATGAAAAACAGCTTCTCATAAAAATACAAATACACAAATCGGAGGGGAAGCTCGGCCAAACACTAACATATGTGTAAGCGCCAATCTAACATAAATTTTGTCTCCGTTCGTTCGGCGTTTCTAAGAACCATTTTTCTGTAGACGAGGGGAGTTTCCATGGTTTCAAAAGTGTTGGAAAATTACGTCCAAAATCGTAGTTTGAAAATTTGCGTATTTCTGTATAGTTGTTTTTGCAACCTATTCAATTTGAGTCGTTTTAGCATTTTGTTTTACTTCGTATTTGAAATTAAACTTTGTAGTAAATATAAATGTGATGATGAAGAAATAAATAATAAAAACGATTAAGAAAAAAGGTGAAGACAACGTTAAAGATAAATACGAAAATGTAAACAATGGCCAATACATAATAATTTGGGTACCTGTAAGGGAAAGATATTGTATTGAAACTATTAAAAAGGAATCGAAATGAATTCAGTCATAAATACTTAGTTATCGAAAGTTATCAAGATATCGAAATTTATGGAGCTATCCATGCTTATTAAGTTTTCGCAACGTGTAGAATTATTCAAATTGATCAATTTTTATTGAGTTAACGAAATTTATAGACACAGAAACTTAGTTGTGGAAATTTACGTATGGTTATCGGGCTACTTACAAAAATTAATGGGACCATCGAAATTCGTCAAGTTAGCGAAATTTATCATGTTATCAATATTTATATAATTATTGTCATTAATAGAGTCGTCAATATTTATTATCGAGTTATCGATATTTATTGATTTACTGAAATTTGTCGACTTATCGAATCGAAGCTTTTGGATTTTTCAAAATATTTAGTATATTGAAATTTTATCAAATTTGTCGAGCCCTCGGAATGCCCAAAAATTATCGAAATTAGTAGAGTTATCGAGTTTTGTTAAGTTATCGGATTTTAGTGTATAGTATATCGAAGTTTTATCGAAATTTATCGAGCCCTCGAAATGCACAAAAATTATCGAAATTAGTAGAGTTATTGAATTTTATTGAGTTATCGGATTTTAGTGTTTTTTAAATTCATTGACTTATCGATATGCATCAAATTATCGAAATATGTCGACAAACTGGAATGTATCGGATCAATTCCAAGTCCTGCCAGAGTCCTTCAAATGCCTTCAAAGAAATAAAGAAATTGTATTCACGTTTTAGTTCCAAAGCAAGAGATTTTCCGATAAGTTATTTTGTACCTAGTAAGCTAAACCACGTGCTAAGTCCGATGGCCTTAAAAAACTAGAAAAACGGTCGAATTTCGATAGTAACTGACACTCCTAGTTATTATTCAACGTTTGACAGTGATTTATGGAAAGTTTGAATTGCCCAATCGGTTAACGGGTGTGCCAGAGCGGCCAGGCAAATTTTTTTCAAGCATTTCGATAACACTGATCAACAAAATTGAACTCTTAATATGCGACATGTACTTCTTTTGGCATTTCTTACTTTTTGTTATTTCTTTAGCAGTTATAATTTTTGAAGTCTTCATAGTAAAATTGTGAAGCCATTGCATATAAATCAAACTAAAATTTTATGTAGCTCAGAATAGCAAAAGCCTTTAACTAGAGCAAGACACCGGTAAGCAGACCCCTTTCGCTGCCACTAAAAAATGTTGCTATCCATGTATAGGAATTAATATACCATTTGTGCAAATAAAGAATTACAGAGCAACAAAATAATGAATGAATGGATTGCTTCTGACCTGCATGTGATGGTCAGTGAAGGAATGACGAGTGCGAGACGCTCGCACATCATTACAAGCTGGTCGCCAACCCTACAGGTAAATCCTTTTATTTAATAATTTTAATTAATTTGTAACATAAAGTTCCAGTATTTCACTGTTGGTAAAATTTAGGTGAATTGGGCTACAAATTTAAATGTAATTTCTTCATCTACACTTAGGCGCTACATCTGGAAAACATTATACTATTCCTCAACTGTACTATTTATAGATTCTTTAGCCTTTTTGAGAACCAAGATTTTTCCATCAGGGATGCAGTGAAAAAAAAACTAAACTAAAGTGTAGAGACATGTATGCTCAAAGGCTTGAAAACGTCGTTGTGTGTGTGTAGTTTTCAGCCAACAAAACTACCACAGCCGCACGTGACGAATTAAACCAAAGAAAACTCATTTTGAGTATCGTCGCTGAAGTAGACGTGCGCTGAAGAACGTTATTATGTCCAGCTGTGGAAATATAACAGAACAAATAACGAGCAATGACGAAAACACAGATGCTCGTTGCACGTATCCTGTCGACTTTGAGAACAGAGTAAATACATACATACATACATGCATACGGGCCTCACAGTGTACTCCTGTCGTTGATAGTATGTAAGAGTAGTTGTAGTTGTGCGGTTTTTTTTGTCGGCCAGGCTGAGTGCCGCAAATTGCTGACATTTATTATGTTGCATTGATTTCAAATTGTTGCATTTTTATGGCTGAAGTAGCAATCAATTTCGGTTGCTGATGGAAGTGCAAGTGATTAGAGGAAAAAATAAAATAAAAATAAAACCAACCGCAGAGAAGGTAGGAGTAGTAAAATTGATTGAATAAGAAAAAACGTAAACAGTTTACCATTAGACATAAGTAAGAGCAAAAACACGAAAACGCAACTAAATATAACTATATATATATTCATATATGAATTCATATAAGCATGTACATATAGTAGGGTGGATCTTAACCAGGGACCGTAGCGGTTATGCTTTTTTCAAAAAAGTCAAGAAATAATCGTTATTTTCTCACCGATATGTTTGCAGTCAAAAATAAAAGTTACAAATTGACTTTAATTTTTTGGGTCAAATATAAAAGTTAAAATATGACTTTTATTTTTTCCGTTCGAAAAGCATTTATGGAAATAGACACCTACAAGGAGAAGCGCATTGATATTGATACGGACCTTATGGATTACTGGGAGCGTAAAAAATGTATATATCCCCCCAGTAAGAGATCTGGCATGTATTATATGTACATCAAGTGACAGTGACACAAGTCAGTGTAGAACGCGCGCTCTCAGCACTAAGCTTATTCTTAGCGTTTTGCGATACAATTTGTCGGAGCAGAACTTGGCAGCTATGTTAATATATTAATTATAAAATGGAATTCCAAATCAATCCTGTAAAAAGGTGAATAATTTAAAGCTTAAATTAAAGAAACTCCATATATTTACAGAAGATAGAAAACTGCAGTTGAAAGGATTTACTAAAACATATTTTATTGTGAATATGTAAACTGCTATTTTGACCGAAAAAATAAGTCAGATTTAACTGTTATAATTGGCCGAAAAATAAAAGTCAAATTTTAATTTTTACTTTTGACTGAAAAAATATCAGTCAAAAAATAAGGCTTAATTTCCGACTTTTTGGTAAAAAGTAAAAAAACATAAATCATATTTAAATCATTAGGATACCTTGGATAACCAGCTATATATAAATGTTAAAAAGACCAATTCTTTCCGACGGACTTTTTGAATTGAAATTTTGCAAATAACTATTATTTTCGATCCCTGTCCTTAACATATACGAAAATCTCAAACTTTAAAAGAAATGTTGAGGGTCGCTACAAGGGTGTGAAAATATTGATTTTTTTTAATCGCAAGAACTTGACAAAAAATTTACTTTGACAAAAAAATGTATCAGCTTTCAAGTCAAAAATTTTTTCAAACCATGATAGCCAGCCCTAAAAATTTAGTTAAAATTTGGAAACTTTCGTGGATGTTTTAATTTTGTACGTAGAATAATGGAAAGCGGTATCCCATACAAAATGTATATGTTGGTATTTTAATGAGCACCCTAATATGTAGGTATTTACTGTATTTATTTGCGAAGAAGAAATCTATTCGTCTACACTCCTCCGTTGATTTATGTCTTGCGGTTTATGTTCGCCCAAAATTCCTCAGTTTGTCAATATTTGTGGCCACGAGCGTATTTGTTTGCTCGAAGAGCCAAAGACAAATGACCATTGCATAAATGTAATTTCCAAACAATAAATAAACTGCTGAGTTAGCAGCAACCTCTGGCAAATGTCAGAGATAAATCAGTCAAATATCGGCAATGAAAAGGAAGCCACATTGAAGGATAGTTTTTCTTGGTTAGAGCAAAAGACCTCACCGCATTAAGTAAATGCGATTACGTTGAATTTGCAAGTGGTAGGAATGCTTAGTGAGTAATTAGTTATTTCTTCAAAATTCTTTTTTTACAATAACGGGTTGATATAATATACATAGCGAATAAGATGTCCAAAGAAAAATTAACTGAGACTGTATATTCAAATAAAGAGCTTAAAATTAAAAATATTTTTGAT